ATCCTGCTTTGTGAGGACCAATTGTAGTGAAACAACTGTTTGAAGCTATAAGCGTTTCCTGAGGATTCAAAAGTTTTGGTCCCAGTAGTATTCACCTGTGCAAGTCCTCCTCCAGGCTAACAGGGTTCAGACGTCCGGGATGCATGGAGCCAGCTTGCAGAGCCGGTTAGTTCTTGAAAGGACGTTGAGACGTCCATGGACGGGGCATTGATACCCGGGTTGTCGACGATTATCCTGGACAGGGTGACCAGTGGACAGAGCAGCTCTCTGTTGGGGGTGAAGACGCCTGGTTTCATCCGTACCAATGAGCCTGATCATTTAAAAACAAGAGGAGCCAAGGGAGAAGAGAATTCAGTTACATGTGAGATATATTGTATTATGAAATGCATTTATTTTTGAACAATCAACAAAGTCACGTTATCTCATTCCCCAACTCTACGAAAAGATCCCCCACTAGATATTTATTATTTGTTTCTAAACTATTTGCTAACTAGTTGCAAAGTAGAATAAATACAAATTTTTGCTGTTATGGAGAGCAGGAATTACTAATTTTATTATTATCATTAATTAGTCAGATTTCTACTATTATAATAGTTGTTACTGTTTCCTCTCTGTCTCTGCTCGTAATGCTTAAGCTAGTGCAGGGTGTTTCATGTGTACTATCACTACAGTAAAACTGCAATTACATGCATTAGTTTATCTATTCCACAACAGCCAACACGCTTTTTTTTTAATTTAATGTTCAAACTTAGCAATGTGAACCTGTAATTTAAATCCATTATTGTAGCATTTGCGCCCCCCAGTGGTAGTATCTGGTAAACAAGCCCCACAGGTTCAAACAACCAAGAGACTGGGCTCCAAAAGCAGGCACAGACTGACCCAATTATATATTTAGACAAAAACATATATGCCTTCAGAATCCTGTGCATGCATTATAAATACACACATACTGACCTGTCACCCTGGCGGATCCCTCGTGGAATTGTGATGCAAAATCCACAGCGCAGGCGAAGAGAGGCCCTACACGGCCGCCCACGGACAAAACGGCTCTGCCTACCTCCAGCCAGACGTCATGTTGTTGGGTGTACCATAGAGCTGCAGAAGCCTGCCGGGCCAGGTCACGCTGTTTCAGGACCTGAGCACAGCTCTGCCTGGTTGCGGGCTTGTGACAGCCCGCGCAACCTGCCGCCAGGCGTTGTAGCCTAGAGGAGGAAAACAAAAAGTGGCAAAAGAGTGGATACAGACCAATTAAAAGAATTGCCCGCGACTACACACACAAAAAGGAACTTCCGCCATTTTCTGCGAAGGAGGCTGTATAAACGCAGAGCGAGTTTCCTTATAATCACTGCGTGGGCGAGTAAGCGCTGAGCTTTCTTCCTTGTTATCGAAATATAATTCTTATATTCATGAATAAGAGGTATTTTTGTGCTTCTTGTATCTAAATTAAAGTTCTTCTTCTCTTTGGTCTGCATTGCTCCAGAAACACAACCAGACGGAGAAGCGAGCGCGTTTTTACGTTACGTCTAGAGGTATTAGTCCATAAAAATGTAACTGGCTATTGTCGTGTTCGTTGTTTTGAGAAAGGACATTAATTGGATATGATAGTGTTTTAGATTTCAGTATCAATCATCAGAGGCAGCTGGTAGCTCACTGGATCTCTCCAACTCCAAAAGCTGACAAAGAAGAGACTTACTCACAACCAAACCTAGCTACAACGATGCAAACAGAACAACAGCTAGCTGTTTCCAGCAGCAGGAAGGGAAATTAAATCTTTAATACTGACCATGAGAGACGGTTTCCACCCGCCACTTTTTAGCCGCCTTTTATTTTATTTGAATCTCCACCTTGGTTCCCAGTCTGAGGGTCGGGCCCCTCCGGAAGGTCACCAGATAAATCTGAAGAGTTGTGATGTGATTTTATTTTTTCATTCAGTTCATTTTTTGGTTTTTCCTGAATTGTTGGGTAATCTCAAATAGATTTAGATGTTTTTGTAATAAGTGAGATTGAGAACCAAATAATTAATTAAATTACTCTTCAATGTTTCCCTCTGAAATGTGGAGCAGAAGTATAAAGTATAAATGAGAGAAATTGTTGTTATGGACACTTTGAGTAAATGTTGTCTCAGCTACTTTTTGGGCAGATTTTGTTTTTGTGCATGATTTGAATGTCATCCGTTGTGTGTTTTGGCGCCAACGTCTCGGCTGCCAACAAACTTCCTGTCGCTCTCTCTTGCTGTCTCTCTCTCTAATAGGACTGTTTGCTGTAGGAACTTTCACTCGTCCGTCCTCCGTCGCAGAAACAACCTCTGCTGCTCTCTGCTGTTTTAATATTTCAGTATCTCAACCAATTTGGTGAGTTTGTTTCTTTATTATTACGATTCAGTGCTAAAAGTGTTAATTTATCAGAGATTTAATCTATCTGACTTTATGTGTCACTGTATCATTTCTCATTGTGTGGGCAGATTTGGCGGGAAACCTGCCGGACTGACCTACTTTTGATTTTTGAACCTGAACTTCACTTTTATTCTCTCCTTCTTTTATCTATTTTACACATGAACTTGTTTTTTCTTCAGGCATTTCAGGTATTATGTACATTTACTTGAACAGATAAAGGAGGATGTCTGTTTAATATGTTTGCAGATAATTTAGATTTATGCATCTATATAGTTTTTCTTCATAGTGTGTAAAAGTACATTATTTGTTTGTGTTTGCATGTCTGGATGCACTGTCCACATAGAGTTTTCTTTAACGTTTATTTTTTATTATTTTTGTCTTAAATGATGTGTGACACAATGTCAAATGACATGGCCCCCGCTCTTCTGGGAGGCTTTTCTGCTTTCATTTCCTCTTTTTCTTGCTTATTAAGTGTTTTTGTTGCCATGACTACACTGCCCTCCAAAGCCTAATCGCAGTAACTATGCTGACAATGAAACTGAGAAAAATGGTTTCAAAGGTTTTTGACTAATGCGAACAGCGGCTATGTGCTTATTAATTATGTATTAGTTATTTTTATTTTTATGTCTTAAAAATCATGACCAATTAATGAATTAATGAATTGTAATAATTTTGGCGAAGGTTAAATCACTAAACCTCTTTGAGGCTTTTTTTTTAAATGATATTTCTAATTATTTTCTTTAAATGCTGACATAGCTGTTTAAATGGGCTGATCCCCTTTTTAGGAAGCAAATACATAATACATCAACCAAACACAGAAACACTAGGATTGCATCCCTGAGGTGCCACACAACCTTCGCCAAGTATAAAATATCTCATAATAAACCATACTTGAGAACAAAAATACATCAATAAACTATTAAATATTATAAAATAGATTTCATTAGGGTTGAGATGAATTCCCCCAAAAATATCTTTTGGTTTTATAAAGTTCAAAATGCAGTGTGGTTATTCACTGTGGAATACAATAAATATACTTTATATGGAAAAACATTTGCAGTCTCTCTAGATAAATCGAAAAGAAAGGATTAGATATATTACACTTCATGTTCAAGAAGAAAAAATATTTAAATATATAAATAAATAGATCATTTCTACCAGCCTTTAGCCTCAATTAGCATGCTAACCTGCTAAACTAAAGATGGTGGACAGCGTCTTTTTTCAACCTCTGAAATAATGTGAATTTTGTTTTTATAGTAAAAATGAAGATTGCAGCCTTCAATGTCCAGAGACTGGGAAAGGATAAAGTCAGAAAAAGGGTTGTGCAGGAAAAACTTATCAAGGTAACTCATAATTCATTAAAACATCTCTGATATTCAGTACAATTACCTATTTAAATTCATATTTTTGTCATGCTTGACTGTGAAAATACATTGAAAAGGAGCTACTGTATATTTGTATGTTGTGCATTTTGTGTTTGTTTGTATGATGATCACAGAAATAAGACCTCTGTTCAGGTCAGATTTGGAGAGATGCCTGCGCAGTTCCTGTAAAAATTATTTATTGTTACAAAAGAAATACATTATTAGTATTTGGTTCTGTATCTTGTTTCTTTTGTATTAGTATTGATTATCTATGTACCCTTTTTATTGACTAAAAACATTCCTTCACAGTTAGAAATACTGTAAATAATAAAATTAATGATGGTTAAATCCCATTTAGCTGCTTCATACTGGTTCATTGTCACAACTTAAAGGGACACTTGATGACAACAAAGCCACTATTGATTATAATTAGTTATTAGTAACACTTTGTGTGTCCCAATATGACAATTTAAATGTACTTCCAGACATGTTCATTGTTCGCTGTCTTCTGTTGTGGTTGTGTTTGGTGCAGATTGTGTCTCGGTACAGCGTGGTGGTGATGCTGGAGGTGGTGGATCAAACCGGCGAGGCCATGAAAGTTTTCCTCCAAGAACTCAATAAGTACGTTGTCCACACGTGGACACGACCTCCCCATTTATTTATAACTCAGAAGTAGAAATGTTTTTTGCCAACAGAAGCTATCATGCAACTGCAGCCATGTAGGACCATAACAGGCGACCTTTAACCCACTTAAGAGAGATCTGGAGCATTTTGAAGTCAATAGGTGTTTTTTTCATGGCAGGTATTTTGAAGTCGCAAACACATCTGTAAGTGATCACATGATGAGGGATGTCCTACTAGCAAACCTAAATGGCTTTTTCAAGCGTCAGTTATTTTAAGGTAAGTTATTTTAGACTGGTCTGTAGTGTTATGCCAGTCTTTATTTTAGATTAGATTAGTCTAATCATTAGACTAATCTAATAGTCTAGGGTAGACTCTAATGCCACCCTATTTATATACCGATCTCATATACTGCAAAGCAGTAACTACAATTGTGGTAAAAATGTAGTTTTGACGGAAACTTTTAAATGTCTGTTTTATGTTGTGACAAATTGTCTGTTCAGTCTTGGTCTATCTGAGAGAAAAAACAATGTAAAACTTGCAGAAACTCACCAAACCAAATTCTTAATCACTCATCTATTTCAACTCTTTACACGTGAAACAACAAGAAATACAGATTTAATGTAATAAGACATCAAATTACATTTTGTCTCAGGAAGAAGACACTGGATTTTGGCTTTGCGCTAACCATATATCTGTTTATGGTAATACAAAGACAAAGAGTGCAGTATCTGCACTTACAGGCCAAATAATTAGTCATGAAAGGCAAGATGGGAGATGGAGTTGGACTTCTGTCTCTATATACAGATTGAATATAGCTTTTAAATAAACAGAACTAAACAGAATCTCATGATTAAACTAAACAAACTAGAACAAATTCAGGAATTAAATACTATGTTCCCGCACAGAAACCCATAATGATGATTAATAAATGCTGCTGGTTAAAACTGTGTTTGTGAGTGTTTCAGTTCCAGTTGTTTGTGTTTTTTGACTGAAGGAGTGGACCTCATCTGTACGGCATGAAGAGCAGCCAATGTCTGGGACGAAGCACCTACAGAGAGAAGTTTGTCTTCTTCTTCAGGTAAAGAGTGAAAAACTCACTCCGGGAAACCGACTCATCACTGTCATTAGGTTCACAAAATGTCCTCCAAACCTTTGGTTTAGTAAAACAATTAAAAGAGATATTTCAAGTGTGTTAAGAGCTATGGCTATATAAATTGTCATAACATTTTTCAGAGTTTATATGTGCATGTGTGTCACAAATACACCCAACTACATGAATTTGGTTACTAATTACAGGAAAACTGTACAGAATGTTAAAGACAAATAGTTTTATTCAAATGTGTTTCAAAAATGTTTTGTAAATTTGTTTTTTTATTGCAGTGTGTTCTGATTATTTTGAATTCAAGAAATGTTACTCCTTCACGGTTCAGGGCACAGATGTGTGGGAGTCATGAGCCAAAAGCTGAAGTGCTTTGTAAATGACCACATGGTGGTGCTATTGGACCAAACATGACCTACTGTGACTCTAACTTTCCACAAAGGTCAACTGAAATCCTTCCAGTAGTTTTAGATGTGCTACTAAGAACAGGTTAATTAATACATACATACATAAAGATAATAAGTATAAGGTAACTAGGAGAGAACATATTCAAAACAATGGAAAAAATACCAGAATTACAAATCCAGAATGAAACCGAACTATGACAATGCAAGTCCAGAAAAAAGTTCTTGTGTCATGACTGTAACATTTCCTTGAATTAAATAAGGGTATCAGTGTATGTCTGTCGATTATCGATTATGACACACATATGCATCTGCGTCTGTCTGTGTGTGTTTTTAGAAAGGATGAGGTGAGGGTGATCAACTTCCACCAGTACAAAGAAACAGCTGAAGACACTCTCGCCAGAGAGCCCTTCATGGTGCGGTTCGAGTGTCTTAATACAGGTACCTGTGTGTGTGTGTGTGTGTGTGTGTGTGTGTTGGTTTTTGTGTGAGTGTCCTGCTTATAGTGTTTCTATAGAGGTAGAGAGCTCAAATCCAAAGTTTCTGCTAGTCCATAATTACCAGACATTGTGTATAAGTTTTTTTTTTTTGACAAATTGTTGTTCTCTGATTTTAACACAGAATCTTCAGTTATTCAAGAAACCTCACCTGCCACAACTTTTATTACAGATATATTGTCTAACTAACATCAGCTTTGATGTAAGGTTATCTGTTAACAAATGGAGCATACAGAATGTCTAATGAACCCAGCCTAAACTAACTTGATCTTTGTCCTATCTCATATTTCAGTTTGTAGAAGGCCCTACCCAGCATTATTAATATTTTCTGTCTCCGCTTTATTTAGAAAAAAAAACTGCAATACCTTCTCCATAATATCAAAATGAGTTGTATTAGTAGGAACATTTCAGGACTGTAATATTGTAATTGCTTTAGGTGTGTTGAAAGAACATGAATTAAATAAAACCACAGAAAAAATATTTTCTAAATCTGATAAAAAAGCACAACATCATCAGTATAAGGAGAAATAAGAAGAGTGTGATCTGCAATTCTACTCCTTGAGTGTACAAAAGGAAATAATTAAAATGTTATTTACATACTTCATTAATCCTTTTTTAGGTTCAATGATGAAATACATTTGTTTGCTAGAATACAAAACGTAATATGTATGTTTAAACTTGTTAATTTTAATTTTAACTTTTGTTACGTTAATCATTCATCTCTCAACAATTACCACTTAAACACAGGTACAAAGAAACACAAAACTAGCAAAGGTGAAAACGTAACACTGGTTCACCCAGGGCGAGGCTAGGCCATTGCACTCCGGCTGTGCTGACCCCTGCGAATTCCCCAAATGTGGGAATCTCGACTGCATAATTTCTGGTAGTGGGGGACTGCGTTTGCACTGACTTGTATGTTGGAGAAAAAGCCAATATAAATTTGATTGTAGCAACTTCCCAGTCAGCACTGTTGTGGTAATGTTCAAGCCACTGAAAAGAGGCTGTAATGTGGTAATGCCATTGGCAGTTTTCATGGGTAGGGGAATGGGTGTGGCCTGGAATATTGGCAGACAATAAGACTATGGGAGACTAACTACGAGTGGAGTGGCTGGGACATATAGAAATTAGAATCTGTGTGTATCCAGTTTAGCTGTTTTAAACAGTAAGTTGTGTTTGTGCTTTCAGTTGTGCAGGATCTGGTTCTGATCCCAGTTCACACCAAACCAGAGGATGCAGAAATAGAGCTGGATGCTATGGGGCATGTGGTTGAAGTTGCAAGGAAAAAATGGAACACTGATGTGAGTTGGAAATTAATAGAACAGAGTAAATGATAAGTATGGGAGCAATAATAACTTATTATTTCATGGGTTTGAGTGGAATGGTTTAACTACAAATCTGCGTACTTTTACTGCAATTGTATGGTTGCATCCCGGCTTAGAGTATTTAACAGAGGCAATTGCAAGAAGTCGCCATGTTTACAGTTAAAAATAGCCTTTTGTTATTATGGAATATTTAAGAAAACTTAAATTAACTTGGTTATTGAAGATACTCTCGCAGTTTTTCCTACAGGCACTGGTTTTTGATGTAAACATTACACTGACATATTATCACCTTATAAAGTTGAACAGTTTAATTACACATCACATATATACACAAACAACACAGAGCAAAATGATCATTCATTTGGAGTCTAATATTCACTCTATTTTAGCTCTGATTTTGGTCTCCTGAGGGAAATATCAGGCTGTTTAGCTGCCAAATACTCCACCATGTTCACCAGCTAGTCACTAATTATATCTGTTTGCTGTTTGCTGCTGTGCAGGTAGTGTACATTGGGTTGCTGAAAATGACTGTGCTTAGACCAAAACAGTTGGGTGGTGGGCCGTAAAACCAAAACCAATGAGTTAAAAGAAGCTAAAAAGGGAAGTGATAATTATCTGTGGGTTTGTCATACGTGACCCCTGAAATATTACACAAAGTCATTTTTTTGTATTTTATTTACTTTTGTATCCATTATTCTACCGTATGTAGATTTGGACATGCAATGGTAGTTAATTTTGGTTTTAAAGGTTATATATATGAAATTCAATTTGTATTCCATTGGATGTTACACTGGAGCACCAGCTTCTCTCTTAGTTTAAAGTACTGACTGGAACATACTAATGGACTGAATGATGTTTATGCTGATACATTATGTTGATTTTGTTCTGCAGAACATTATGATTCTGGGGGACTTTAATGCAGATGGACGTTACCTCTCCAAGAAGAAGAAGGAAAGCATCAGCATCTTCTCTCCTGACTACCATTGGCTGATAGGTGATGA